AAAGTAAATTCACTATCATCTTTCTACTGAGTAACCACAGACACCTAAACCCTGGTGTTGTATTACAGGAATTTACAGTCACAACAGAGTTCCTTTAGTAATATAAAGGAAGTTATGCAAAACATTTGAATATCTACATTTGAATAGGAAAATAAAGACTTTCATGTCGACATATTACACACAGAGTATTCCCCTGAGTCTGCTGTTGATGTTCTGAGATGCTGCAACCAATGCCAGGACATGAACGAAAGCACATAGTTAGCTTTAGGCAACAAAAACACTTGGTTAGGTTACCCATCACAGTTTGGCTGTACTTTCATATGGAAAGCAAACACTAGGCTCTCAGGTGAAAGTCTAGAATTTGTTTGATCCATCCACCGCCTCTCCCGCCTGCACTACTGGGACTTTCCAACTCCTTACATTATTTCGTTACGGGCAGCGTTTAAAAATGGCGCCATCTCAGGTGTACCATACCGCTGCAACAGGTACCATCTGGCAGCGTTATAAACTGACACTGCCCATCTGCAAATCATACTGCCATGACAGGTGCCTGCTGGCTGACTGGCGGCGAATCATAACGCTGGGAAAGGCGGCTTTTGGCATTGGTGTCTGATGCCAAAGCCACTGACAAAGCAACAGTATTTGATGATTTTGGAATGAGAGGGGCTGCAAAAAAGCAAAATGTGTCTCAAGTATTGGCATTTTTACAGTCAGAATTTATAATGCCATTTGGAATAGTTGAAAAGCCTGACTTTTTAAGATGACTGTTTGTTTTTCACTAAAAAGGATGTTGATTTAACAAAGATGTGTCCTATCTGTAAGGCAATGGAAAAAATATTTTTTTCTGAACAAAATGTGATTCCAGTATATTTTGGTGCCAAGTTTTAAACATATTTTGATGATTATTGGGATGATAGACCAATCATGAATTACAATTATTTTGGCCAAAATAATCGTGAAATCGTCCCATGCCTTCTTGGAACTACTGCATCTTTCTGACCAAAATAGATATTTCCTTGGGGAATGTTGGAATGTTAATTTATAACCATATGGGAACATCCTCCTCCCCATCTCCAAAGGTTTTCCCAGAGATTGTTAATGATGATTTAATGGATACCTTATGCGGGCAGCTTTTTTTTTAAGAGGTGGAAAGATACAGCATATCAAGCTACATCTAACCCTCTTGAATGCCATATCTAATATGACTAATTCACTGTATAGCAGGGGTCTTTAACATTTTTCATGCCAAGGATCCCTTAGCTCAAAGAGGGATGGAGCAGGGACCCCTTACCATATATTTGGTATAAAACTGAGTTGCACTTGAGATAATTCTCTGAATATTTTTGGGTCTTCTCTTGTTAACATTTGCCTTTAGCTGCTAATTCAGCAGCAGCTGTAGCATGGCTAGCTGTGTTAGCCTCACCCCCGGCACTTTCACTCATGTTTTCTATGGTGAATGATATTTCAGAGTCTCTTGCTCACTTGCTAACTTACCAGTGTATTTCAATAGTACGTAACTGTTTGTTTAATGTTGTGTGCTGTAAATTGAATGGGTTTATTTTTATGAACAGGCCGCTTTACCTTTGCGAATTATGTGTAAGATTCCTGTTCAAGTGATAAATTTAAACCTAAATAAATGATCAAAAAATAGTTTGGCGGCCCCCCCTGCAGTAACTCTGAGGACCCCAGAGGGTTCGCGGATCCTCTATTGAGGACCCAGGTCATAAGGTCATAACGGGTCATCTGGGATTAAGCACAGAGACTACAACTTTCTAACACAAAGCCTGTGTTACCAACTCAGGAAGTGGAGTTTGAAAGATGCCGGTTAATACCAGGGAGGATTACGGAGGCAGAGTCCTGCACTGGTTCATTTTTGCAAACCCGCACCCATCCATACCCATAAAGCTCGGTACCAGAACCGACCCATTACCTGTCATTATGTCTAAATCAAAGCCGCACCAGCCTAAACCCATTAATAGAAGTCCCGCAACCCGACCTGCACCTGTGATTTAACACATACAGACTACAGTCACTCACATTAAGGTGGGTTCTCCATTCTTGAATTACAAATCCAGCGAAGGAAAAGTCTCTTTCACTGCCTGCACTTCATGCCGGGATGATGAAAACATTCTGCGCAATCACTGCCAAGTTAGGAAATATTTTAGCATGCTCCTTCCACCACTGTAAAACTCAAAAGGATCCCCCTTGGGTGTTTTGAACTCTGTGTAGGCTGCCACCTCATCCTCAGGCTGCAAAGTTTCATCATCGAAGTCCTCCATGTTGGTGATGAATGTGACAAAGGGGTCCATGGTTTCACTTGTGTCACTGTTTTTCAAAATAAAAGATATTGCTGCTTGATAATAGGGTTTTAGATGTCAAAATAGTGCACATATACTACTCATCTTTTTCATGTGTTTAATTCTAAAAAATGAAAAATATATTTTTGTTCTTACCCACTGCCCATCTGTGGGTAGTTAATTTTTACCCGTGCCCGTAACCATGAATTTATATACACACACACATACATATATTTACCTGTTAGCTTTTTTGGACTACTCGCGGGTACCCAACTCAGTGCAGGACTCTGTATGGAGGTATAAGAGACTTGGCTACAGCATTGGAGGGGGGTTCCTTTCAATCTTACAAAAGCTGAAGCCCAAAAAGCTCTTATTCAACTGTATGCAGTTAACCAGATCTTCTGCATTGTGCAGACCATAGAGCACCAGAGACTTACGGCAGCCGAGTAAAGCCTAATTCACATTACATGATTTTCACCGTGATTTTGACGTTGCAGAGGGTCTTGAGAGCCACCTTGGGTCAGAGGTGAGTCAGCAGATAGTCTGCCACGGCGAGTCCTCATGTGTGAACAAGCCCACCAGCATGTCGCCCCCTCGTCTGTGACTGGGACTGCATATCTGGCATGTGTGTGACACGACTGACAAAGAGCATCAGCCAATGAGAGGCAGGATACGTCCCACGTCAGCACGCAGGAGGATGGAAGAAATGTGAGGAGGACAAGCTGCAGGGTTGCCAGGTCGCGATATTTGTTTTCCTACTATGGTGAAGGCAAGACCCGCACTACTCTGCCTTACTCTGCCTCTGATTGACTTACCCCGACATTCTTACCCTAACCCTAACCAGTCTCATTCCTCATGCCTAAACCTAACCAATCCAATGAAAAAAGCAATGACTACTAGCCAATCAGAGGGAGAGTAAGGTGAGCCATGCTTTTGCCATAGTAGGGGAAAAAAATTAGCTGCCAGGTTCTAGGTATTAGCCACAACTTTGGGCTTGTTTTTTTGTGAAGTCGCTTACAAATATTAGTAGTCGCGGGTTGCCTTTTTTGGGCTTGTTTCTAAAGTGGAGTTGCTACTTTGGGCTTGCTCTCTAAACGTCACCTTTCAATATATATTTATATCCGTAGCTTCTTTTGGGCTTGTTTCCATGGCCCTGGTTGCTTGTTTCTCTCCCAAGATCTGGCAACACTGACAAGCCGGCAAACAACACCAACAATGGTGGCATCCACAGGATCACTGGGAGCACACTGTGTTTGGACCCAGGCCCTGGAGGCAGATCTGATTCAACACTGGGAAGAATATCCATGCCTTTACGATGTGTCGTATCCAAGTTAAAAAACGTAGTTTGGTGACGTCACCGTGTTATCTGGAGCTCTGTTGGCGAGGGCTCGGTGGAGAAATCTTGTGGTGTGCACGCACAGGTCATAACGCAGTTGAGGAGACTCCCGATGACAGAAACACATGTCGCCAGGTATGAACACTCAAAAGATTACAAGTCTCTGCGACGCAAACTCAGGGTGAAAATCGTGTAATGTGAACTAGCCTGAAGGCCAAGTGTGGCTAGGTGGCTGGCACTCCACTAACTTAAATTGGGTTAAAATGATTCAGTCTTTCAGCTGTTCTACACTTTTGAAATGTTACCAGCCCGAATGGATCAAATCCTGATAGTAAAATGAGTCATCTTGCGGGGGTTGTGAGGTTAAAAAAATGTATTCACAGATTTACAGATGTCTCTCTTACAGTGTAAGTCTACAGGTATATTTGGGCCCAATGGCATCAGGTGATGGACCCAGATGGTGTAATTCCACTTTAGCCACTATTTAAAATTGGCTTCAAAGCCAGGCGTACTTCCAGGTTGCTTGTGGAGGACAAGTCTGACAAATAGGATGCCACAGGAATGAGTCCTAAAACCCAGAAATGAAAATGAATGAAATGTGTTTTAATTATGAAATTACATTTATCATATAAATACATATAACTTGTATTGCGAGTGATTAAAGTTAGTAGGTAAATTGTTGTACTTGATCCCAATTAAGGGTCAACCACAGATCTTTTTATGGGCTGCCCCTTGGCCTTGGGACAGGGTCATCTGTATCAGATGGGCCTGATTGTTGAGAGAGGCTTTTTGACGAGGGAACCAGTACAGAGCTAACGTTTGCGTCGGCCTGCAGTAAAATGTAATTCCTGGGGCACTCTATATAGAATATATGGTGCTGCATTATGGGAACTGTAGGATCCAGTGGTTTTGGAACTTGAGGCAGACTGTAAGCCTGGATATCTCCCCCTCTGATGTGTTGATTTAAACCATACTTAAAAACCAAATTTTTGAAAGTGTGATACTAAATGACTGGAGTGACCCTTTAATATCTGCAGTTCAAAATTGTTTCCTCAACAAATAACATTTACATAGCCTATCACTACAATAAAGTGCATGGAATTAGAAAAAAAATCAAACAACAACCGTTTTTTTTACAGTACATCTTTAGTTTTCAATGGCAATCTATGTCTATAGTGACCTATAATGTTTATTATTTAATTAATGTTGCTGGTAATAAAGTAATAGTGGTAACAAAGGTGAGAAAGAGGAGGCACCTATTGCTGCTCTCTCTCTCTCTCTCTCTCTCTCTCTCTCTCTCTCAGTGGTCGCTTCACCATCTAGGAAACGCACAGTCAACGCTTTATTATCCGCTCGCACGGACCGACCGGTCCCCGACAGAGCAGCTCTCTCCTCGAGCCGCTCTTGCTTTCTTACTCTCTCTCTGTCCTCCTGCATATACATTATTCGGTACAGTGTACAGATGTAGACGGTAACCGGAGCTCACAGTGGGAGACTCTGTTGTCGCGTTTGCGCCATGGAGGACTGCTGTTCTCCGGAAAGCGAAAGGATGGAAGCGTGGCTGGACGACCACTTGGAGTTCACCCACTCCTACTTCATCAGGAAGGCGTCAAGGTAAAAGGAGGGGGGTGGGGCTGTCACTCAGTGAGAACAGTAAACCTGATTTACTTTGTTTCTGTGCAGCCTCATGAATGTGACTGTACTTTACAGTGGGAATCTCTGCTCAGTTTGCTTTTGTGTGCAGCCTCACAGCCAATCAAGAACAGTTTCATTTCCTTTTTTTCAATATAATTTTTATTAGGCATTACTTTACCTCTGTATGAAGGACAGGAAGGCTATAAACCCTTCCCTGATCATATCTAACAGTTAACCCAGCCTGTCCTGCACAAGTGACTGTGGCTCTTTCAGGTGCACTGTGACCTGGAAATGTTGTGTCCCTGCTCAGGTAGAGCTGCTGTAATGTACTGTGATTGTCATGGTGTCCACTCACAGCTCAGCTCTTTTTCATTTCACCACCCACTCCACAATCAGTAATGGCTCTGAGAGTTGTAGGGTCCTTAAATGATTAACTTTTACTGCTGCCAATGTTTCTGTTAAATGCTCAGCATGTGCTGCTGAAGAGGTTCTTGGTGATAATTATACAAGCACTTAACATAGATGCCTTGTGCTTCGAATTAAAGGGGAACTATGCTCAATTTCAAAATTCATTAATGTTATTCCTATGGTCTGTGACAGTCCAAAATATGAGTAAACATGACTCACTCCCAAACCTAGCGTGCTAAAACTTAAATTTGTGACGTCATCTAGTGTTAAGTCCAGAGCTGCTCCATAGACAATAAATAGTGAAAGGTGTTCTAGATCAGTGGTTCCCAACCGATGGGTCAAGGTCCAAAACTGGGTCAGGGTTTCATTCTGATTGGACCGCAAGTGCTGAATTTTCCAGTTTTTTAAAAACCAGGGATGCACAATAATACTGGCACGCCATTGCTATTGGTTGATACTGGCTTTAAAATAAAATATCAGAATCACCCAACATGCTTTGTCTTTGCTCAATGAATGAATATTACATAAATTGAAAAGCATTGTATTTCATGTCTCCATCTGCTGGTGGGCCATCATGATAAAAGTATGCATGTATAATATGATGTTAATTCCACTTCAGAAGACAATTGATGATGGGGGAAAAAGTGGATATATCAATATGGGTATTGGTTATTGGTCAAATGAGTTGTTGCATATCAGCATACCAGATATTGGCAAAAAAATCCAATACTGTGCATCCCTAGTAAAAACACACTTTATTTTGAAATACAGTGAATTTTTGGCACAGAGATTTTATTTTGAAGTGCTGTCTCCTTTTGTAGAGTGAGTGACTAACAGACAGCTACCTGACAGAGACAGCAAACTAGCTTGACAACATGACAAAACACAAATATGATTAGGGATGCACCGAAATGAAAATTTAAACGCTTGGCCGAATACCGAGTACCGAGTACCGAATACCGTTGTTTAGTTTTTCATTAGTTTTTGCAGACAAACCCCCTCCAGATTAGTGTTGTCACGGTACCAAAATTGGGATGCACTGTATGATACCAGTGAAAATATCATGGTTCTGAGTAGTATCACGATACCACAGCAAAAATGAGGCAGATGTGCCTTTTGTCATTTATAAAAAGATAAATCACTTTTCTATAATACATCAATGATATTTCAATGGAATAAATTACTTATTGACTTATTCATACTTCAAAAACAGCATCAATAACTGATTAACATAGGGGGGATCAAAATAAAATAAATAAATAAAATAAAAATCAACCAGCCACCCTCCTCCCCTGACAAGTAAAGAACAGTCCCTTCATAAGTAAAGAACAGTCCCTAAAGTGCGCTGAGGTTTGTGAACCGTTACCTGCCACAAAGAGAGAAATGTGAACGGCTTGTTTCTCCTCTGACGCGTCACATACCTGTGTGCTGCCACAGCTCGGCTGTTCAGGTATTTCTGGGCAGTCATGAAATCAACAAAGAGGAAATTACTGGACCTGGAGCCGGACTTCTCCGTTGCCGGTAAGCTGTTATCTTGCACCGCGGAGCACTATGGCCGCCGTATTAGACAGGAATACGTATTCCTGTCTGTGTCTGTGACCCCAGTTCAACCCACAACTGGCGGGATTCGCCTTTCGTTTCTGCTGCTGGTTAAAATCTGTACAGCAGAGCGTGCTCCTGAATGATTTCTTTTGCTTGCACAGAACTATTTTTAGTCGCAAATGTGAGTCCGGTGACGGACAGAGTAAAATATCGCCACACTGCCGACATTTTACTCCGTCCGTCACCGCAAGCTGTTTGATTGCGTTATCAAAACACGCCGCTATTATTCGGCCTTGCTTTTCACTTATTCCACCGAATACCGAATGTGTGTTTTTGTGCAATATTCGGCCGAATATATTTGGTTACCGAATATTCGATGCATCCCCAAATATGATACTGAACGTATTAAATTTTTGAACCTTGAACTAATGACTAAGGACAAAAATGGACCCTGTGGTTGGACCAGTTGGGATCCACTGCTCTAGATGACACTGATACCCCTTTCCCAACAACATGGAACTGGTTCCATTCCAGTTCCTACACCTAATTTTTAATCGTTCAGAGCATTTCAGTCAAAAATAAATTGGTTCACAACCCAGAAAGTTGGTTCTCATCTGGAATAAAAAAGCAGGTATTTCCTTGACCTGAAGTCAATCAAACAATCAATTTTATTTATAAAGCCCAATATCACAAATCACAATTTGCCTTACAGGGCTTTACAACATACGACATCCCTCTGTCCTTAGGACCCTCGCAGCGGATAAGGAAAAACTCCCCAAAAAACCCCCTTTAACGGGGGAAAAAAATGGTAGAAACCTCAGGAAGAGCAACTGAGGAGGGATCCCTCTTCCAGGACGGATAGACGTGCAATAGATGTCGTACAGAACAGATCAGCATAATAACTTAACAGTAATGAAGTGAAGTGAAGTGAAGTGCGAACCTTAAGACATCAGTGGGCATAACATATTCTACAGGTTGGAAAGAGAGGGTGGAGAAGTCTAGTGAGGAATAGAAAAATAAATAAAAAAGAGCGTGCAGTGGTTTCATTAATAGTCGTTTCATGCTTGTTTTCTTGGGACAAACAAATACCTCTACCAATGGAAAAAAAAGTTTGCAGGTAATCTACTATTGTTAACTTCTGTTGTGCATTGTGCAAGGCCCTTTGTTGATGACACAACCTGGATTACTATGGTGTTGAAAAGGGGTATGAGAGGGGCATGAGAGCACCCATGGGAATGTTCTGAGAATAGACCAAATTACTGTGACGTTGCGAAGCAAGCTTGTTTATTTTTGTTGTCATTTTCAGCTGTAACTGCAACATTTAAAGACTTAGGGCTCTAATTTTCCGGTGCAGCGCAGGGTGGTGCAGGGTGGCGAACCCCGCGCAGAGCTAGTTTCGAGCAGTGTAACCCGAGGCGCGCTCAGTTTGGTAGTTTGGCAGACTGAGGTGCACTGAGATGGGTGTGGCGGTGCAGCAGGGGGAGGTGTCGACAGATCCAGCTTGGCAGTGACAGTTTCGTGCCAAAAGGCTTCGCCGAAGGTGTGCTAAAAGCTCGCCAGCTGAAACCATGTCTACTGTCAGCGCAGGCGGAGCGCAGCTGGTGTAAGTGGAAGTTTGGCTGACCAGTGGACAGTGCACACACGTCACCAAAACCTCACAGGCAGGTTTCCAGAATGTCAGGCACATTAACGATGCAATAAATAGCCACAAAAACCACTATTCAATGCAACTATCTGCAATCAGCACATAAATGTATCTCTATATCGACTGTCCCGTCACATATGATGTCAGATCAAAGGGGATTGGCACCGTTTGGCACGTTTGGCACGCGTAATGGAAACCCAACCTGATTTGATTAACACAGCTGCAAACTAATGAGTTCACATCCCTCTCAGCCAACCACAAACAGCCACAGCATCAGATAGGGAGTATATATTCAGCATCTGTCATCTTAGGAAAGTCAAAAGAAAAAAAACTGAGAGACTGCGAGAGAGAAAGAGGGAGCACACGCGCACGCGCACGAGAGAAACGCAACATTGATTTACAATTGTGGTGACCTCCTCCCAGGCTACCTTTGCATCATCAGCCCGTGGAGGTCTGCTCGCACTTCCGTATATTTGGACACTGCGAGCTTGGACCTCCCGGACCAAAACATCAGTTTCCTCCTGGGAGAAGTTTGGCCGTCTGATGCTGCTGCTCTCTTCTGCCATGGCGAATTGAGTAAACTCTCATTACGCCTTCACGCGGCGCATTTAAGGGTGAGGAGAGGGGCTCATTTGATTGGTGTGATGTGTGTAAAACCCACTCCACGCCTTCTTTCCTCCCTCTTTCTGATTTGCGCAGGTAGGAGGGACGGAGGTGGGAAAGAGGAGTAGCTGCACCAGGCGCACGGTGTGCTAAACTTGCAAAATCCACCTGGCCACACCCAGTTGGCGAAGCGCAGGTGCGCTGCGCCCCCGCCTCGCCCGGTCTGCGAAACTAGAGCCCATATAGTTAAACATGGTGGTTCGATCTATCTATCTGACATTTCTGCTGTGCTCATCTTATGTACTGTGTTGCTTTACTATCATATTTGTTGAACCAAATCTATCGGCACAGAAGCTAAATAATGTGCTGCTTTGGACAGGGCTGCATCAAAACATATTCTAGCCACCTAAAAAAAATAATATTAGTGTAAGTGTGCGCTACATTTGAGTATTTGCTCTGGTTTACTTTACACACTAACTGATTGAGGCAGCGGTAGACTAGTAACTCTTGTGTTCTGATAAGTAAAATAACTGTTTTTGTCAATGGAATCTAGTGGCTTTGATGTAACGGCTTTAATTCTTCTTCGGAAAAGACTGTCTGACTGCAAGTCAAAGTGGTGAAAATATTAGTATAACTATTACTATATGCTAAATATTAGCATATGGTGTTAACTTAAGCTGACATCGATTTTTTTGGTGGGCCTTTTTCAGGTGGCTAAAAACTAAAACTAAAACAAATTGAGACAGCGTTTGCTCAGTGCCATCCGCTTTTATGTGTGTGA